TCTCCAAGGGTCTATCTGCCTTGAGGTTAGCAAGGGTCTATCTCCAAGGGTCTATATGTCTGGTTCTATCTGCCCAGTGGGGTGTCTCAGCAGTGAGGGGAGGGTGGGAAGAAAGGTCTGGGAAGCCCAGCAGCCTCCCCTACCTGCCAGCGTCTTCTCGGGTGAGTGCATGTAAAGGTAGGGCTTAGAGACCCCTCGGGACTGTTGCACAGATTGGGTTTCAAACCCTCCACACGCAGGTCTGTGAGCTAGGTAACAGAAAAAAAAAGGTTCTGGGAGCCGTGGGTATAGAAAAATGAATGGGTCTTAATCAGATCTAGGAGCAATTGTACTAGTGGCTTCTTTGAGAGTTCTGAGGACCACTGTGGAGCAGAGCTGTTAGGCTTTTATACTTAAGTCCACAACCCCAGACACCTGGGTGCCCATGCACAATTTACATTAAGTAGTAACAAGGAACGCCTGTGAGGATATTTGCAGCAAATGCTTGACAAGACTCTGAACATGAGGGGTCCTGACATTTTCCTATTTTTCCCAACAATCCACCCCTTCAGGATCCCACGCTGTACAATCTATGTGTTCAGAATCTTCCACGATGTTCCCTTAGCAAGGATAAGTGACCCTTACATTCATACAACCTATCGTCTGTCCAATATGCCTTAAGGCTTGTCCTGTAGCTTTGTTCTTTCAGTTATTAGCTGCACACATCCGGTTAGTAGTCATCACTGGTATGAAGTTCAGTGTGTATTCAATAAGCCAACCCATCGGTCACACGAACACATGCCTGTGCCCAGTTGACTCTGGTGCCCGCAGCCAGAACACTATGGGCGAAAGGGCAGAACGGTTATTGGTACCAATAGGGGGAGTTCTCGCCCCTCTGGTAAGATCCATGCCAGTTTGCCAGCTGTCAGTACAGATGGCTAATGGCCCAGGCTCACTCTTTATCACCATCCGTACTGCTCTCAGTTCAGCCCATCGAACTGCTTTGCCCTGTGCCATTTTCATACCACATGGTCTCTGTTAAGGGCTGGACAGCAACAGCCGTCCACGATGCTGAGGGTCCCATGCTAGAGCCATCTGTGTACCAAGCTTGCTCTGTGATAGGTCCCTGTCCCTCATGGAAAGGTGTGGCCTCTACTTCCATGGGTAAGGGTTGTGCCAGTGTTTCCTCCATGACCTCTACTGGGCCTAGCACAGTTTGCAGCTCTTTGGACTGAGGACTCATTGACAGAATGCTCCTTTGTTCTGTATATGCTCCCCATTTAGACAAAGTGAGAGTCTGAGCTACACCCGTTTTAGGGTTGGTTGCCCAAATATGCAGCTAACCTGTTATGGGCTAACTCTGCTCACACACAACTTGTTTACAAAGAATGCGCCACACCACCCCCAACTGGACCTAAGGCGAGGGGTCTGATTAATTTATTCTATTTTCCCCACAGCTACTCAGCCATTAAAAAAAAAAAAAAAAAAAATGACATTCTGCTATTTGCAGCAGCATGGATGTCGTCCTTACTAGGACTTTGACAGTTCCTGTGATAGCTTCAGTGGCTATCAAGG